CTCTACCCCCCTCTACCCCCACTCTCCCCCCACTCTCCCCCCTCTCCCCCCTCTTCCCCCACTCTCCCCCCTCTATCTCCCACTCTCCCCCCTCTACCCCCCCTCTACCCCCACTCTCCCCCCACTCTCCCCCCCTCTTCCCCCACTCTCCCCCCTCTATCCCCCCCTCTACCCCCACTCTCCCCCCTCTACCCCCCCTCTCCCCCCTCTCCCCCCTCTCCCCCCTCTCCCCCCTCTATCCCCCTCTCTCCCCCCTCTCTCCCCCCCCTCTCTCCCCCCTCTCCCCCCTCTTCCCCCACTCTCCCCCCTCTACCCCCCTCTACCCCCACTCTCCCCCCTCTCTCCCCCCCTCTCTCCCCCACTCTCCCCCCTCTTCCCCCCACTCTCCCCCCTCTATCCCCCCCTCTACCCCCACTCTCCCCCCTCTCTCCCCCCCTCTCTCCCTCCCTCTACCCCCCCTCTACCCCCCCTCTTCCCCCCCCTCTTCCCCCACTCTCCCCCCTCTACCCCCCCTCTACCCCCACTCTCCCCCCCTCTCCCCCCCCTCTCCCCTCCCATTTCCCCTCCCCCTGCCGTCAATCACTGCCACACGATCGGCATCTTGCACTGTGACCTCAAGGTGCCGCAGCCACGCCCCCTACATTCTAGCCCCCCCCACCCTCCATTGTAGCACCGCCCCCTCATGTCTAGTCCCCGCCCCCCTCATATCTAGTCCACGCCCCCTCATATCTAGCCCCGCCCCCTAACTTATAGCCCCCGCCCCCCTCCATTGTAACCCAGCCTCCCTCCGAGTCTAAACCCGCCCCCGTCTTACCTAGCCCCTCCCCTTTAGCCCCGCCCCCTCCTTCCCCTCCCCCACCTCCCCCCCAGGCTAAGGAGCCTCTTCGTCCTGATGGCGCTCAGCGTGGACACGGCAGAGACAGCCACCAGCGCAGTCAGTGACACTCCGCTCATCATCACCATCAACATCACCATCATCATCAACATCATCATCACCATCTATACCATCATCATCACCATCATCAACATCATCATCATCTATACCATCATCATCTATACCATCATCATCATCAACATCATCATGGCCCAATCATTTCCTTTCATAATTTCCCAACATTAGCAGCCTGGGTGGTAACAACGACAACAACAACTCTGTGTGTCCCGTGTCTCTGACTCACCCACCCACTCACCCACCCACTCACTCATCCACCCACCCACTCACTCACCCACCCACTCACTCACCGACTCACCCACCCACTTACCCACTCACCCACCCGCCCACCCACTCGCCCACCAACTCACCCACCCACTCACCCACCAACTCACTCACCCACTTACCCACTCACCCACCCGCCCACCCACTCGCCCACCAACTCACCCACCCACTCACCCACCCACTCACTCACTCTCACACTCTCCCACTCACTCACCGACTCACCCACTCACCGACTCACCCACCCACTGACCCACTCACCACCCACCCACTTACCCACTCACTCACCCACCCACTCACTCATCCACCCACCCAATCACTTACCCACTTACCCACCCACTCACCCACTCACTCACTCACCCACCCACTCACTCATCCACCCACCCACTCACTCACCCACTAACCCACCCACTCACTCACCCACTAACCCACCCACTCACTCACCCACTCACTCGCGTACTGATGGTAATGATGATGATGATGGTGGTGATGATGGTTGATGTCTGATGATGGTGATGATGGTGATGCTGTGTGTGTGATGTGTGTGATGATGGTAATGATGATGGTGGTGTGTGATGGTGATGTGTGTGTGATGGTGATGATGGTGGTGTGTGATGGTGATGATGATGGTGATGTTGTGTGATGGTGATGTGTGATGTTGTGTGATGGTGATATTGTGTGATGGTGGTGATGGTGGTGATGTGTGATGTTGTGTGATGGTGGTGATGTTGTGTGATGGTGATGTGTGATGTTGTGTGATGGTGGTGGTGATGGTGGTGATGTGTGATGGTGATGTGTGATGGTGACGATGATGGTGGTGTGTGATGATGATGGTGTTGTGTGATGGTGATGATGATGATGTGTGATGGTGATGATGGTGTGTGTGATGGTGATTTTGTGTGATGTTGTGTGATGATGGTGTTGGTGGTGATGTTGTGTGATGGTGATGTGTGATGCTGTGTGATGGTGATGTTGTGTGATGGTGGTGATGATGGTGATGGTGGTGTTGTTGTGTGATGTGTGATGGTGGTGATGGTGTGTGTGATGGTGATTTTGTGTGATGGTGATGTTGTGTGTGATGGTTGTGATGTTGTGTGATGGTGATGTGTGATGCTGTGTGATGGTGGTGATGGTGGTGTTGTGTGATGTGTGTGATGCTGTGTGATGGTGATGATGATGGTGGTGTGTGATGATGGCGATGTGTGATGGTGATGATGGTGTGTGTGATGGTGATTTTGTGTGATGTTGTGTGATGGTGGTGATGGTGTGTGATGGTGATGTTGTGTGATGGTGGTAGTGATGTTGTGTGATGGTGATGGTTGTGATGTTGTGTGATGGTGATGGTGGTGGTGATGTGTGATGTTGTGATGGTGATGTTGTGATGGTGATGTGTGATGGTAATGTTGTGTGATGTTGTATGATGGTGGTGATGGTGATGTTGTTGTGATGGTGGTTATGTTGTGTGTGATGTTGTGTGGTGGTGATAATTATGGTGTGTGATGGTGATGTGTGATGGTAATGTGTGATGTTGTGTGATGGTGGTGATGGTGTTGATGTTGGTGGTGATGGTGGTGATGTTGGTGATGATGGTGGTGATGGTGATGATGATGTTGATGGTGGTGATAATGGTGGTGATGATGTTGATGGTGATTGTGGTGATGTTGTGATGATGGTGGTGGTGATGGTGATGTTGTGATGATGTTGGTGATGATGGGGATGTTGTGGTGATGTAGTGATGATGATGGTGGTGGTGATGATGGTGATGGTGGTGATGTTGTGGTGATGATGATGGTGATGGTGGTGATGTTGTGGTGATGGTGGTGATGTTGTGATGATGGTGGTGATGGTGGTGGTGATGGTGATGTAGTGATGGTGATGTAGTGATGATGATGTTGTGGTGATGGTGGTGGTGGTGATGTAGTGATGATGATGATGTTGTTGTGATGTTGTCGCAGGGCGCTATCCTCACCACGACGCTGGCCACGAGGAACTTATCTGGTGAGAGTTCACTACAGCACTGTACCACTACTGTACAACTACTGTACCACTACTGTACAACTACCGCACAACTACTGTGCCACTACTGTACAACTACTGTACAACTACTGTACCGCACCCACTGTACAACTACTGCACAACTACTGTACCACCACTATCACTACTGTACAACTACAGCACCGCACCCACTGTACAACTACTGTACAACTACTGTCCCACCGCCGCACCACTACTGTCCCACTACTGTACATTACTTATCACTACTGTACCACCACAGCATTGTACAGCTACTGTACCATTGCAGCACTGTACCACCACTGTACCACCACTCTACAACTGCTGTACCACCACAGCACTGTACAGCTACTGTACCACCACAGCACTGTACCACAACTGTACATCTACTGTACCACTACTGTTCAACTACTGTAACACTACTGTGCCACGACCGCACTGTACCACCACTGTACCACTACTGTACCACTACAGCACTGTATAGCTACTGTACCATTGCAGCACTGTACCACCACTGTACATCTACTCTACCACTACCGTGCACCTACTGTACCACTACTGTACCACGACAACACTGTACCGCCACTATACCACTACTGTACCACTACAGCACTGTACTACTACAGCACTAGCACTCCTGTACTGTACCACGACACTGTACTGTACCCCTACTGTACTACAGTGCACCACGGCAACAATAGCACTACTGTACTGTACCGCTATTGTACTGTGCCACTACTGTACCATTACTGTACACCACTACAGTGCCAGTACGACTGTAGTACTGTACGGTCACATTACAAGTACGGTAGCCTACTGTGCTACTGTACTAGAACTGTAGTTTTACAGTATCACTACATTACTTGTACAGTACTAGTACAGTACTCGCTGCAGTACTACACAGACACAGACAAAGCTGCCCCAGGTAGCCTCTAGCAGGGCTGTAGGGGCAAGTGCTGTTACACAGACACAGAGAAAGGTCCTCCAGGTAGCCTCTAGCAGGGCTGTAGGGGCAAGTGCTGTTACACTCACAGAGACAAAGATCCCCCAGGTAGCCTCTAGCAGGGCTGTAGGGGCAAGTGCTGTTACACAAACACAGACAAAGATCCCCCAGGTAGCCTCTAGCAGGGCTGTAGGGGCAAGTGCTGTTAACCACTGCTGTGTGCTGTGTGTGATGTAGTGGCCACGATGAATAGGAAGACTGATGGAGTGAAGGTGAAACATCATCACCATCACCACCACCATCACCACCATCATCACCACCATCACCACCATCACCACCACCACCAACATCACCAACATCACCACCATCACCACCACCAACATCACCACCACCAACATCACCATCACCACCATCACCATCATCACCATCACCACCACCACCACCATCACCACGATCACCATCACCACCACCATCACCACCATCATCACCACCATCATCACCATCACCACCAACATCACCATCATCACCATCACCACCACCATCACCATCACCACCATCACCACCATCATCACCATCACCACCACCACCAACATCACCACCATCACCATCACCACCACCAACATCACCACCACCAACATCACCACCACCATCACCATCATCACCATCACCACCACCACCATCACCACCATCACCACCACCATCACCACCACCACCATCACCACCATCATCACCACCATCACCACCACCACCATCACCACCACCATCACCACCATCACCACCATCATCACCACCATCACCACCACCATCACCACCATCACCACCACCACCCTCACCACCATCACCATCACCACCAACATCACCACCATCACCACCATCACCACCACCACCATCACCACCACCCTCACCACCACCACCATCACCACCATCACCACCAACATCACCACCATCACCATCACAACCACCATCACCACCAACATCACCATCACCACCATCATCACCACCATCGCCACCGCCATCACCACCATCGCCACCGCCATCATCACCACCATCACTACCATCACCACCATCACTACCATCATCATCACCATCATCACCACCATCATCACCACCACCACCACCACCACCATCACCACCCCCTTCACCATCACCACCACCCTCACCATCACCATCACCACCATCACCACCACCGCCATCACCACCACCACCCTCACCATCACCACCATCACCACCACCATCACCACCATCATCACCATCATCACCACCACCACCCTCACCATCACCACCATCACCATCACCACCATCACCACCACCATCACCACCATCACCACCACCGCCATCACCACCACCATCACCACCACCGCCATCACCACCACCACCCTCACCATCACCACCATCACACCACCATCACCACCACCACCACCATCACCACCGCCATCACCACCACCATCACCACCACCACCACCCTCACCATCACTACCATCACCACCACCATCACCACCACCGCCATCACCACCACCACCCTCACCATCACCACCATCACCACCACCATCACCACCATCATCACCATCATCACCATCATCACCATCATCACCACCACCACCCTCACCATCACCACCACCACCATCACCACCATCACCACCACCACCATCACCACCACCATCACCACCACCGCCATCACCATCACCACCACCGCCATCACCACCACCATCACCACCACCGCCATCACCACCACCACCCTCACCATCACCACCACCATCACCACCACCATCACCACCACCACCATCACCACCGCCATCACCACCACCATCACCATCACCACCACCATCACCACCATCACCACCATCACCACCACCATCACCACCACCGCCATCACCACCACCACCCTCACCATCACCACCATCACCACCACCATCACCACCATCACCACCATCACCACCACCATCACCACCATCACCACCATCACCACCATCACCACCATCACCACCACCATCACCACCATCAGTAACCTCTCTCTCCCGCTGTGCTGTCTGTGTCAGAAGCGAAAGTCGACCTCTGTGATGCAGCTTGTGGTGAGTTACTCATTCACTGTGTTATAACTCACTCACTGTGTTATAACTCACTCACTGTGTTATAACTCGCTGTGTTATAACTTATACCTCACTCACTGTGTTATAACTCACTCGCTGTGTTATAACTCACTCGCTGTGTTATAACTCACTGTGTTATAACTTACTCACTGTGTTATAACTCACTCACTGTGTTATAACTCACTCACTCACTGTGTTATAACTCACTCACTGTATTATAACTCACTATGTTATAACTCACTGTGTTATAACTCACTTATTGTGGTATAACTCACTCACTCACTGTGTTATAACTCACTCACTGTGTTATAACTCACTGTGTTATAACTTATAACTCACTCACTGTGTTATAACTTACTGTGTTATAACTCACTCACTGTGTTATAACTCACTATGTCATAACTCACTGTGTTATAACTCACTCACTGTGTTATAACTCACTCACTCACTGTGTTATGACACACTCACTGTGTTATAACTCACTCACTGTGTTATAACTCACTCGCTGTGTTATAACTTATAACTCACTTACTGTGTTATAACTCACTGTGTTATAACTCACTCACTGTGTTATAACTCACTATGTTATAACTCACTGTGTTATATCTCACTCACTGTGGTATAACTCACTCACTGTGTTATAACTCACTCACTGTGTTATAACTCACTCACTGTGTTATAACTCACTGTGTTATAACTCACTCACTCTGTTATAACTCATTCAGTGTGTTATAACTCACTCACTGTTATAACTCACTCAGTGTGTTATAACTCACTCACTGTTATAACTCACTCACTGTGTTATAACTCCCTCACTGTGTTATAACTCACTGTGTTATAACTCACTCACTCACTGTGTTATAACTCACTCACTGTGTTATAACTCACTCACTGTGTTACAACTCACTTGTTATAACTCACTCACTGTGTTATAACTCACCGTGTTATAACTCACTCACTGTGGTATAACTCGCTGTGTTATAACTCATTCGCTCACTGTGTTATAACTTACGCGCTGTGTTATAACTCACTCACTCACTGTGTTATAACTCACTCACTGTGTTATAACTCACTCACTCACTGTGTTATAGCTCTCTCACTGTGTTATAACTCACTCACTGTGTTATAACTCACTCACTCACTGTGTTATAACTCCCTCACTGTGTTATAACTCTCTCACTGTGTTATAACACACTCACTGTGTTATAACTCACTCACTGTGTTATTTCTCACTCACTCTGTTATAACTCACTCACTGTGTTATAACTCGCTCACTGTGTTATAACTCATTGTGTTATAACTCACTCACTGTGTTATAACTCACTCACTGTTTTTTAACTCACTCATTGTGTTATAACTCACGCACTGTGTTATAACTCACTCACTCACTGTGGTATAGCTCACTCACTGTGTTATAACTCACTCACTCACTGTGTTATAACTCACTCACTGTGTTATAACTCACTCACTCACTGTGTTATAACTCACTCACTGTGTTATAACTCACTCACTGTGTTATAACTCACTTCACTCACTGTGGTATAACTCACTGTGTTATAACTCACTCACTGTGTTATAACTCTCTCACTGTGTTATAACTCACTCACTGTGTTATATCTCACTCACTGTGTTATAACTCACTCACTGTGTTATAACTCACTCACTGTGTTATAACTCACTGTGTTATAACTCACTCTCTGTGTTATAACTCACTCACTCTGTTATAACTCGCTCACTGTGTTATAACTCATTCACTGTGTTATAACTCACTCACTCTGTTATAACTCACTCACTGTGTTATAACTCGCTCGCTCCCTGTGTTATAACTCACTCACTCACTGTGTTATAACTCACTAACTTTGTTATAAGTCACTCACTGTGTTATAACTCACTCACTCACTGTGTTATAACTCACTCACTGTGTTATAACTCACTCACTGTGTTATAACTCGCTGACTCACTGTGTTATAACTCACTCACTGTGTTATAACTCACTGTGTTATAACATAACTCACTCGCTGTGTTATAACTCACTGTGTTATAACTCACTGTGTTATAACTCACTCGCTCACTGTGTTATAACTCACTCACTCACTGTGTTATAACTCACTCACTGTGTTATAACTCACTCACTGTGTTATAACTCACTGTGTTATAACTAACTCACTGTGTTATAACTCACTGTGTTAGAACTCTCATCGCACTGTGTTATAACTCACTGTGTTACAACTCACTCACGTCACTGTGTAATAACTCACTGTGTTATAACTCACTCACTGTGTTATAACTCACCTCACTGTGATTATAAACTCACTAACTGTGTTATAACTCAGCTCACTGTGTTATAACTCACTCGTGGTAATAACTCACTCACTGTGTTTATAACTCACTCACTGTTTTATAACTCACTCACTGTTATAACTCACTCACTGTGTTATAACTCACTCACTGTGTAATAACTCACTCACTGTGTTATAACTCACTCACTGTGTTATAACTCACTCACTGTGTTATAACTCACTGTGTTATAACTCACTGTGTTATAACTCACTCACTGTGTTATAACTCACTCACTGTATTATAACTCACTAACTGTGTTATAACTCGCTCACTGTGTTATAACTCACTGTGGTATAACTCACTCACTGTGTTATAACTCACTCACTGTTTTATAACTCACTCACTGTTATAACTCACTCACTGTGTTATAACTCACTCACTGTGTAATAACTCACTCACTGTGTTATAACTCACTCACTGTGTTATAACTCACTCTGTGTTTTTAACTCACTCACTGTGTTATAACGCACTCCCTGTGTTATATCTCACTTACTGTGTTATCACTCACTGTGTTATAACTCACTCACTGTGTTATAACTCTCTCACTCACTGTGTTATAACTCACTCACTGTGTAATAACTCACTCACTGTGTTATAAGTCACTCCCTGTGTTATAACTCACTCACTGTGTTATCACTCACTCACTGTGTTATAACTCACTCACTGTGTTATAACTCACTCACTGTGTTATAACTCACTCACTGTGTTATAACTCGCTGACTCACTGTGTTATAACTCACTCACTGTGTTATAACTCACTGTGTTATAACATAACTCACTCGCTGTGTTATAACTCGCTGTGTTATAACTCACTGTGTTATAACTCACTCGCTCACTGTGTTATAACTCACTCACTCACTGTGTTATAACTCACTCACTGTGTTATAACTCACTCACTGTGTTATAACTCACTGTGTTATAACTAACTCACTGTGTTATAACTCACTGTGTTAGAACTCACTCACTGTGTTATAACTCACTGTGTTACAACTCACTCACTCACTGTGGTATAGCTCACTGTGTTATAACTCACTCACTGTGTTATAACTCACTCACTGTATTATAACTCACTAACTGTGTTATAACTCGCTCACTGTGTTATAACTCACTGTGGTATAACTCACTCACTGTGTTATAACCTCACTCACTGTTTTATAACTCACCTCACTGTTTATAATCACTCACTGTGTTATAACTCACTCACTGTGTAAAACTCACTCACTGTGTTATAACTCACTCACTGTGTTATAACTCACTCACTGTGTTATAACTCACTGTGTTATACTCACTGTGTTATAACTCACTCACTGTGTTATACTCACTCACTGTATTATAACTCATTAACTGTGTTATAACTCGCTCACTGTGTTATAAACTCACATGTGTTATAACTCACTCACTGTGGTTATAACTCACTCACTGTTTTATAACTCACTCACTGTTATAACTCACTCTACTGTGTTATAACTCACTCACTGTGTAATAACTCACTACACTGTGTATAACTCACCTCACTGTGTTATAAACTCACTCTGTGTTTTTAACTCACTCACTGTGTTATCAACGCACTCCCTGTGTATATCTCACTTACTGTGTTATCACTCACTCACTGTGTTATAACTCACTCACTGTGTTATAACTCTCTCACTCACTGTGTTATAACTCACTCACTGTGTAATAACTCACTCACTGTGTTATAAGTCACTCCCTGTGTTATAACTCACTCACTGTGTTATCACTCACTCACTGTGTTATAACTCACTCACTGTGTTATAACTCACTCACTCACTGTGTTATAACTCACTCACTGTGTTATAACTCACACACTGTGTTATAACTCACTCACTGTGTTATAACTCACTCACTGTGTAATAACTCACTCACTGTGTTATAAGTCACTCACTGTGTTATAACTCACTGTGTTATAACTCACTCACTCTGTTATAACTCACTCACTGTGTTATAACTCACTCACTGTGTTATAACTCACTGTGTTATAACTCACTCACTGTGTTATAACTAACTCACTGTGTTATTATTCACTCACTGTGTTATAACTCACTCACTGTATTATAACTCACTCACTCAATGTGTTATAACTCACTCACTGTGGTATAACTCACTCACTCACTGTGTTATAACTCACTCACTGAATGTGTTATAACTCACTCACTGTGTTATAACTCACTGTGGTATAACTCACTCACTGTGTTATAACTCACTCACTCACTGTGTTATAACTCACTCACTGTGTTATAACTCACTCACTCACTGTGCTATAACTCACTCACTCACTGTGTTATAACTCACTCACTCACTGTGCTAACTCACTCACTCACTGTGTTATAACTCACTCACCCTGTGTTATAACTCACTCACTGTGTTATAACTCACTGTGGTATAACTCACTCACTGTGTTATAACTCACTCACTCACTGTGTTATAACTCACTCACTCACTGTGCTATAACTCACTCACTGTGTTATAACTCACTCACTGTGTTATAACTCACTCACTGTGTTATAACTCACTCACTTTGTTATAACTCACTCACTCACTCACTGTGTTATAACTCACTCACTCACTGTGTTATAACTCACTCACTGTGTTATAACTCCACTGTGTTATAACTCACTCACTGT